AATGTTAAATCAGGATGAACTACTTGTACCATTTTATCTTTTCTCTTCTCAAATCTCTTTTCACATCGGTGCCTTTGGGAGTGGTCAATTATATTATTCAAAGATGGAATGAGGTCGAGGAGTTCTGTCTGGGCTTGAAAATAGAATTATTCATGGAAGTTTTATCGTTCACTTTAATGAACGGATATTTCAAATATGAAGACCAGATTTATAAGCAAAAAGATGGTGTAGCCATGGGGGTGTATTGTCGTCAGTTTTGGCAGGCCTCATTATGAGATTTACTTGACCAGTTATTGATCCAATTACCATTTGAATTTAAATGATTTATTGAGTATTGTACCAAAAGAATACAAAATGGAAATCCTTACATACTTAAACTCATACCTTGAATCTTTAAAATTTACAATACAGGAGGAGGTGGATAATAAACTGCCATACGTGGATCTCGTTATCATAAGAAGTGAAATGCGCCAATTAAAAACAAATTGATACAAGAAGCCAATAAGTCAGGATAGATATTTCGATTTCAATTCATCACATTCGTTGTCATTGAAAATAAATTGCACCAAGAACCTGATAGGCAGGGTGTTTGGCCTTAGTAACATTGAATTCTTAGAAGAAAATATTAAGACAATTGACAATGCACTTAGAAAAAACCACTACCCAGGGGCACTAATTAAAAAACTTACTGCTGAATTCAAAAATGGTCAAAACATTGGTAATAAGGTCAAAAAATCAAGTAATGTTAATAAAATTCCAAACCCTTGTGTGACATGGCAAAAAAAGACATAACCACCATACATCGGTTAAGAATAAACCATGGCATCTGCGCAGCGTATCTTCACAAAACAACACCCAAATTGTGACACATGCGGAGTAAAGGAGGACCTAAAGCACATAATGTTTCACTGCAGCCAACATTCGTCAGCCAGAAATAAATTCTACCAGGATGTTGAGAAAGAAGGAGTAGAACTACTGAAAGTAGAGCTCTATTCAAGAATCCCAGAGTGTATAACTTGATAATAAAATTTTTAAATGATGTGTCTGTGAAAATATAATATGAACTGTTTAAATTGTATATATTCTTTGTAACATGGCTGTATGGGGGGCAGCGGTAGTCGGGTGGTTAAGGCAGACTCTCGGCTAGTGGATCCTGCGGTCGTGGGGTTCGATCCCCACCATCGCCTCTGGACTTTTTCGACGCCTAAGGGGACTGGTGGCCACAATTGAAAGAAATTGACACGGCACTCATCAATGGAAGGGGCGGGATCGGATCTCAGCGACCCTGAATTTGGTCCCAACCCCCTTCAAAAATGAGTTTCTTCGATGGAAGAACAGCGGCACAACGGGGGCTCACGTTCACATTTGTGTTGCAAGCCACCCCCCCCCCCAAAAAAAAGTGTGGAAAAAAAAGGGCTGTATAATTGTTTGATGTCAAAATAAGAAAAAAAAAAAAAAAACTTTGTGTGACGATTATACCAGTGACTGAAATGGAGAACAATAGTCTGAAACCCGTTAATTTTAAATCTATCAATTACATACCTGATGTATCCCAGAAAATCAAAGGTTTGTTCCAATGTAAAATTGGGGACTTGGGAATTGCATACAAATATAAAAACAATTGAAATATTCTGCATGCGAAGCTGAAAGCAAAGGAACCAGTGGGCTCGCAATGCAATGTGGTTTATCGGGTATCATGTGGGGGTTGTAATATGCAGTACGTGGGACAAACCGAACAAAAGTTATCAGCACGGATGAACCAACACAGGTTGGATTATGAGTTCAACAAAAAAATTTCTTGACTCAAAGTGGTCATTTTTTCAAGTTTGATTCATCAAAGGTCTTGGCGAGGGAATCCAGCACGTCCCCGAGCAAAGAGGATTTACAGAAGGCATTGACGAGACGGCGGAAAATATTATCTTGTTCGACTCTCTAATCCGTGATGCGAAAAAATGACTCAATGGCCTACATGTAGCGACCCTCGACCTCAGAAAGGCATTCGATTCTGTCAGTAGAGAGGGCCTAATGGCAGCTATAGCTGCGACGGGTGTACCCGAAAAGCTGGGACGCTACATAGCCGAGACTGTTGAGGGAAGCACATACCTGGAGTCAAAGAGAGGGAGATCGGGCGCGATCCGGCCGAACCGCGGAGTGCGCCAGGGCGATCCATTATCACCGACTCTGTTCAACTGGGTGATGGATGAGATTTTGTCTACAATTCCTCCCCACATTGGATATAGATTAGAAGGGAACAGAGTCGGAGCCCTGGCGCTGGCGGACGACGTCGTGCTCGTCTCCTCGACAGAGCTTGGTCTCCGGACAGCGCTGGGGGCTTTCGAGTCATCAGCGTCCAGGTATGGGCTCGAGGTGAACCCGGGGAAGTCAACAGTACTCTCCCTAATACCCGACGGTAAAAGGAAAAAGATGATAATCGACGAAACGGCACGATTCTCCGTTTCCAGGGAATCCCTGACACAGGTCGGGGTTCTGGACACCTGGAGGTATCTCTGAGTCGATTTCGGAACATCGGGAGTAAAGGAAATGAGGCTGGAAGCCGAACTGGGGACACTCCTTCAGAGGGTCAAGGCCGGGCGCTCAAGCCGCAGCAGCGACTTGAGGTACTAAGGACGTACCTGCTCCCGAAGCTGTTCTACCCCCTGGTACTGGGAAGGACGACAGCCAGCCGACTCACCGCCATAGACCATCAAATGAGGAAAGAGGTGAGAGGATGGCTGCACCTACCGAAGGACACCCCGAAAGCCTTCTTTCACACATCGATCAAGAATGGAAGGCTAGGGGTGCCCGCCATGAAAACCTTTGTGCCAGGGAGCTTCGCAGGAAGATTCGACCGATTGCGTGAGAGAGGATCGGCAGCAGTCAGGAGCACGGCGGCCCAACGGCGTGTAGCGTGGGCAAAGCAGCAGCTGAGGAAGAGGGGCCTCCCGACAGACAATCCGACTCCGGAGCAGAGAAGGCGCTTCTGGGCAGAAGCGCTGTACAAGACGTACGACGGAGTGGCACTATGGGAGGCCAGCAAGGAGAAGGCGTCTACAGCATGGACACGGAGGAACAGCAGCGCCATTCCAGGAAGGGACTACATCCAGTACACCCGGACCTGGATCAACGCTCTCCCCACAAGGACCAGGACAGCAAGGGGAGAGTAGCGCTGCGGAAGGGACCTCCGTTGCCGAGCTGGATGTGACGCCCCGGAGACCCCTGCACATGTCGTCCAGAGTTGCTGGCGTACCCACGGCGGAAGGATACTTCGTCACGACGCCGTGGTAGCTGCACTCGCTGGACGGCTCAAGCAGAAGGGGTATACCGTTCTTCTGGAGCACCTCTTCACCAAGGCGACCAGGAGGTTCAAGCCCTCCTGGCTACGAGGGATGGTACCAGCCACATCATCGACGTCCAGATCGTAGCGGCAGGACTTCCACTCAGCGCGGCGCACCGGCAGAAAACAGCGAGGGACGAGCAGCATCGTTGTTTCAACGCTCACCGTCTCCTGGAGAGGAGCCCTCTGCCAGCAGTCAGCTGAGTGTCTTCGCAGCATGGGAATCCCGGACCTCGCTCTCGCCGGAATGGTGACCAGAGTACTACAAGGCAGCCACACCTCCTGGACGCGGTTCAACCGGACGACAACGGCGGGAAGGCGGCATTGAAACTGGTGCATGATGACTACTGCGCGTGAGGTCTCCGCAGCGAACAAGAAAGAAGAGTACGAAATTTAATGTCGGGAATCTCAATATTGTAAATTTAAAATATGAATTGTAATACTTGTAATGCTGAGAGATCAAATACACAGTTTTGTGAACTTGGAAAAGAGATTACTGGCAGAAAAGGTATATATCAGCGTTACCCCCAAGTACGTGCAATGTGCAAACGGATTAGATTGGACTCCATTTCAGTTTATGATGGTCTCCTAAACACATACAGCGTTTTGGATAAAAAGTGGGAACAGAGAGTGCAGCACTAGAGGCTAAATTTGTAAACTAGCCGCCTAGGCCTTGAATGAGTCCGTAGATCCCAATAGAGTCTCGAGAACTTCGATGGGCAGTAGTAACCCAAACGTAAATGGCCGAGCGGTGTCGACGATATACGAGCACAACCTGGGCATACCCAATGTCCTGTACCGATGTTTTTTTAACTATCTAAAATACAATACATTTTTAAACACTCACTTGTAACGGAAAAGCCACCTGAGCCACATGTCTCTCCCTTGTGGTAGAAGTTAGCACTTTTATTTTTGAGTTATCTATAAAACTTAACTAACCTTAATGGTGATATTCTAATGTACCTGAGGAAAAAAAAGTAATTTTATTATTTATTTGAAGAAAAAGAGACGTGTACTTAATAGTTATGTGTAACCGAGGTAACCTATAGGACCACGTTGTAGTTTTAAATAATTTTGTAAATTTTTATATTATATTGTTTTTAATTAACTGTTTTTAATTACTGTTCATTGTTTAGATACTGAGCTACACCTAATTTTAATTAATCTTATTAGCAGTTTCTTGCTCTCCAGATATATTTCAACACTCATCGAGTTAAAGTAAGATAAATAATTTTTTTTTTGTAATTTTTTTTAAAATGATATGACGTTCTAACTGCGATATTTTCCTAAAATGATGATGATATAATCGTCGAAAGCTCGGCAAAACTTAAAGAATTGCCATTTCTGTTGTGACCTCACTGAAGATCCTTTTGTTCAAGAAATTTTAAAATACTTCTTAACCCTACAATTTGAACCAAAATGCAAATCTAATATTAATAACAGTAAATAACTTGCTTCAAATCTGTTTAAACTTTCTTTTGAACTATTATCTAATTGTCAACCTCCTAAGCAAACTGATATCACATTTAGACAGTTACGTTTTTACTTTACAAGTAAGACAAAGAAAAGTCCTCTATCAGCTGCAAGAAGTTCAGGGGGCATGAGGAGGTATAGTGGGTCAAATCTCAAATGGTTTAAAAAATAAAATAAAATAAAGAAGTCAGTGCAGAGTGAGAGAGAAAATATATAATAAATCAGTTGACAACACAGTAATTAGAAGGGCCCGGCAGCATGTACAGTAAGGCCAAATTTCCTCTGTGCTCATATAAAACACACAGAAAAGTAAAAAAGCTTACGTATGGATCAATTGTCTTTAGATTTTTGAATTATCAGCTTATTTTTAATTCTTGTGACTTGAGTCACTTGAGGTGAAGACACTTGCAATTTCTTCAGGTTGTAATTGAAAATTGGCAACTTGTTCGATGAACCTTTAACTGCTGGATCTAAAAATAAACAAAGTTAATAGGAACAATGTTAAAATAATTAACTAAAAATTATATGAATTATGAAGACCCAAAAGAAATAAGAGTTGGCAAAGTTCGTTCGACTTTGGCACTAACACAAGTTAACCCCGCAATTACAATATTATAAGTTTTTTTGAAATATAGTTTTGTGTCACCCTAGCATGTTTAAATGTATTTATTAGGATTAACGTGTAACATGAAAGGGCCAGTGGCGGAAAAAAGAGTCCCTCTTCAACTCTCTTAGGTTAGAGCAGCGGCGTATCAAGCTGAAGATCGTGGGTTCGAATCCAGCTCGTGCCATTGACTTTTTTATCTCCACTGAAAACCTTAATTAACTGGAAGATATTAATTGGTCAAACGGACCACGAAACAAGTGAATTTAATAAGTTTAAATTGAAGTATACTTCACTAAAGCTCTCCTTGGCCATTTCATTTGTCGGCGAGAATCAAATTGATTACACGACATTTGAAAAATGGCAAAAAGGAGGGAAAACTCATAAGGTGGGGTTGAGATGGGGGAGTTGATGTCCGAGTGGATCGAAGTCACGATAGCTCAAGTGGTAGAGCAGCGGCGTATCAAGCCGAAGATCGTGGGTTCGAATCCCACTCGTGCCATTGACTTTTTTATCTCAACTGAAAACCTTAATTAATTGTAAGATATTAATTGGTCAAGCGGACCACGAAACTAGTGAATCTCTTAGGTTAGTTATATAATAGGTGATTGCTATTTTGAATGTAGTAATGACAGTTTTGTGTGGCATGAGTTGAGAGTGGAATTATTTATTGGCATCAATGTGTAATGTGCGAGGTTCAATAGTGGAATGTGAAGTTCTCCACCACCCTGATTGAATGAATGGTTTGTAAATAGGGGAGAATGTATTTAAGAATGAGCGTGAAGGTGAATGGGTTTGGATCTAACTGCATGCATTGGGTGCTGAATTGACCTAGCTGTTGACAGCATCTGGAGCCCAACTTGGTGAGCTTGACAAATAAAAGACCGAGGTCTATATTTCAATTCTAGCAAGTGAATCACTAATTTAATTTAAATTAATATTCAAATAATTAAGGTTTTTAGTTCAGATAAAAAAGTCAGTGTCAAGAGCGGGATTGGAACCCACGATCTTCGGCTAGATACGCCGAGAATCAAATAGAATACATGACATTTGAAAAAATGGCAAAAAGGAGGGAAAATTCAAAAGGTGGGTTTGAGATGGGAAGTTAGTGTCCCAGTGGATTGAGGTCACGTAGCTCAAGTGGAAGAGTAGCAGCATATCTAGCTTAAGATCGTGGGTTCGAATCCCGCTCTTGACACTGACTTTTTTATCTCAACTATTGGGTTGTCCGGAAAATAATGCAGGATTTTGGTATTAAACAAAAAAAAAGAAACTAGTTACTTTAAAGCAATGTTCTTTAATCAAAATAATTTCCCANAATCCTGTAAACGTAAACAGAATATTTTATATAGATTTTTTTTAATGAAAACTTAAAATCCTGCATTATTTTCCGGACAACCCGATAAAAACCTTAATTAATTGAAAGATATTAACTGGTCAAGCGGACCATGAAAACTAGTGAATTTAATATTCAAAGTTGAAAGCACAATTGATTTAATACCTGTTAAAAATGATATTCCATTTTTATCATGAGTTTGTAGCGGCGACCATTTGTTCGAAGTCGAACCAAACTTATTGTTTGTCTCTTCAGCATAGAACGACTGCACTTTTTCTTCGAATTTGTGTTGAGCTGTTAGTAATTTCTTATGGCTCTCGACACGACACTGTTGAATCGCATTGCACAACGCTTGAATCTTCCATTTCTGCGTTTCAATTTTATACTAAAAAATACACCAAGAATTGTAGAAACATGGCAATTTAAAATTGAGTATTCCATAATCTGTTTTATATAAATTATATGAAGAGCAGAATATTTTAATGATAGGATGTATTTATACTTGTACAATTGTATAATGCTTTTTACATCAAATTAACCATAAAAAAAACTTCATATTGACGTTTTTAAATTTCAAATTAGCCTTTTCTTTAAGCATAAGTACATGGTTTGAAATATAGGCTGTTAAGTAAAATTTCTGTAAATTCAATAAGTTTTGTTTAATATAAAATACTTTTTCTCTTCTCTATTAGAATCCATCTATTAGAATTAGAATTACGATACCTCCTAGGAGGCATCTGACCTCTCCCTGATGGGTCAGGAGGAGTCACCCACCTTGGTGCCCGAGTGACTCCAAGGTCGGGCTCTGGTCGGGCGCCATCGACTTCTTTGGTCATTTTGGCACCCCTTTTTTCATTCCCTAAAACTAGTCATTCCCACACTCACTCAAACAATAAATACATACATACTACTATATACAAACCCAGTCACACATGCATATCCTCTGTCTAGAATCCGGGTTGGAGGGTACTCGATATTCCACCAGACTCGACTTAGGGGAGCATAGGTGGAGCCTTGAAATAATATGCTGCACTGCCGCCCAGCATACTCCTATTCTAACATAAACTAAATCTAAACTTTAACCTATGAAATAAATACCCCACTATGTTCAACCCATAATCCCAATATCTAGAATCACCCCAAGCGCGTGTTAAATTGCATACAGTTCTTCCGTGAAAACACTGGAGGGTGGCGGTGCTATTATGTATGGACATGCCTCACCGCTCTTAGAAGCATTTGCAAAGAGCCGAAAACCGATGTATCTCAATATAACTTCCAAGAACTAAGCTTTAGCTCGGTTAAAGTATGGCGGAGTAGAATTGTTAGATAACATGACAAGATTGTCCCGGATGAGTATAAACAGGAAGATCCAGGGTGGAGTTGGCGGATGCCAGCTAAGAGAGAGAGAGAGAGAGAGAGAGAGTGAGAGAGAGAGAGAGTGAGAGAAAGAGAGAGAGAGAGTGAGAGAGATAGTGAGAGAAAGAGGGAGAAAGAGAGAAAGAGTGAGAGAGAGAGAGGATAAGTAAGGAAATAGAAAAAAGACAACGAGCAAAAAATAAAAAGTGAGAAGACAGACTGATAGATAGAGAATGAGATGAAAGAGAGAGAGATAGAGAGAGAGAGAGAAAGAAGACATGCCTAGAATGAGTGAATGTATTTTAAAGCATGCACGTATGTGTGGTTGCTAATTGTTGTGAAGTGTGTGAATATGTGCGCATAATATATGTGCATATAATCAACTTCTAATCCAAATTCTGCTTGTAAATAATGCATAAGAACTTGTTTGTCTTGTTGATTTACTACTAGTGCTCACAGTCTGGCAAACTGACGGAATGATCACCTCTGGTCCGCCTGTTCTCGCGTTTTTCTACCCGTAAACTTTATCAGTGCGCTCAATTTTTTTTAACGTTGACGAATTTGTTTGAATTGTACTTTTTTTATTCAATTTTTCGGTAGGGTTTAAATAATATTTTCCGTCTTGAAACAAGTCTCTTACGAACATTTCCGATTATCTCAAATTTTTTTTAAAAAGCTTTTAAGTAAAAAGCAATTTCGTCAAATCCCCAAGTGGCATGAGTTATCGTGGATTTACGTCAAAAACAAAGTACTGGATTAAATGAAAGCAGCAAGGAAAAAAATGGAATAAATGACTAGATCCTTTTATTTTTGTGCTGTCATTTTAAAATATTCATTTAATAACAGTTTAGCTTTAAAATGTTAAAAAATTAATTATTCAAAATTATTTTAAAGTCTATTGACTTAATGCTGCTAAAAGGCTTCCGAAAATCTTCCTCTGGCTCATTTATTATATGGAATGTTTGTTTTATTCGTAAGATTAGATATCGGCAACGAGGCTGAGTCGACAGATGAATTTAAAATCCTAAATACGAAAAATAAAGCTATAACTCAAAAAGTAACTGTTCAAATGAACGCCCTCGTTAAAAAGTTGTTGGGCTACTTTAGATAATAACAGAAAAGTTGTTGTAAGATCTCATTCGACAATACTTTCAGTTCAGGAATTCCTCTGAAGGTCAAATCCTACAAGACCAAAGCTTATGATTCCGCTGTTTCTCATGTATTCCCTCCTCGCCCTTTAAGCTCATTATCTTTCTAACTTCACATGACATTCTATTTTCCACCTTTCACCGGCAAATCCTTCAAGCCATTAAATACGAGGAAATGGGGCACGAAAAATACTGTCCGAATGAGTTATGACGTAATTTTGTGTTAAAAATAGCGCACGAGGACTGCCTAAGGCAAAACAGCGACTCAGCGCAGAAGGCGATTTGTTTGTGTTCACTCGATTCCATTTAAGGGACTTTTTAATGGACAGGATGAATTGATTTTATGTGAAGTCCTTTGGTGTCCCAAGGTTGGGCACGTGGACGCAATCTTCACCACAGCCTTTCAAATGCAAATATGCTTAAAGGGGAAAAAAATTTAAAAGCGAAAAAAATCTCCATCGAATAAACTTATAACTTAGAACTTAAAATCTGCAATGCAGTGATCACTTTCCTATATAATTACTCTGTAATTTATAAAGTAAAAACTTTAGTAGTAAACTTTTTTCCTTCACCTCTGTTTAATTTTAACTACCTTGTTTTCTTCTTTTTACAAAGTACCGATTATTCCCTGAATTATAAATGATTGATAATGGGATGGATTGTAGGGCGCAAAGAGTTATATTTCATCATTAAACTATGGATTCAGTAGTAAATCTCAGATCGAATAGGATCATGGAGGGGATTAGCGTAAGCGGAAATAAACTAATCTGATTTATCTAAAGAACAGATTATCCCGTTGCTCACCGCGTTGAGAAATTCAAATACAGCAGAAGCTGCACAAGTGAGGAAATAATAACAGAGAAGAAAGAACAGGTTTTAAATAATTTTGCAAAAATCAATTCAATTTATACAAAAATAAACTTTGTAGATAATCCAAGAGGTTTCAAAATTTAATATTTTGTCATTTCCTATCTTTTAACTTGACATTTTTTTTTAATCCAATGATTTTAGATTACATTTCTAAGAAGTCACAGATAGCAAATGTAAGACCTACGATCATCCAACGGGCCTAACGGATCCGCACAGTTCAGCTGTGTACACAATAAATTGTTGAAGTAGTGAGATGTCAGATGTATTTCAGAAAAACACCTTTTTTCATTTTATTGCACACGTTTCGACCTTTATTCGGATCATCTTCGAGGTATCAAGTTATTAAGTGTCACGCTTGAAAATTTAAAACGTATCTATTTTTAATGAATAAAATGCCTTTTTTTCAATCTGTTTATTACATTTGTTCAGAATTAATTTAATAACATGGTCAATTAATCATGTTTCGTGTAGTGCCAAGGATTTTGTTTTATAGAGAACTTCCTGCCTTATTTCATGCAATTTAATTTTTTTTTTCTCGAAAAGTTTTACAGATTTGTATCGCTTTTTTTGGTTTTGTTTAAATTATATTTTACTGACCGGAACCGATGGTAATCTTATCTGGTGAATATTATCCGTCCAGTCCAGCTGGAATAATTTTTGCCGCGTCACTAAACGCGAGAGTCCTTGCGTTGTCATGTCAAGCTGTTCGATTTCTATTCACTAATTCTGGCCTTTTTCCCTTGTTAGAAACGGTTTCGTCGGTGGAATTGGAAATTGCGTTTAATGTAATTGTCAGTATCGTCCTCGGGAAACAGTCCATGGCAAAAGATTCTCTCCAATCCGGCTAAATGCATAGACGGTCTGCTATTGGGTCAAGTCCGGCCTTTGTGTGTAATGGACGTTCATTTGCCTTTCCCCATGATTGCTGTCGGGCTGTATACTTATACAAAAAATCCAGGTCTCTAAATATTCATAATTAATACATGATCTGTATCTGAGCGAGTAAAAAAAAAAAAAAAAGAAGAAGAGAAATGTATTTTATTTTTTGTCGAATAAGCCCAAGTATCGAGGAAGTTTTTATCAAAGAGCATTTTCAGTTAACATTTGTCGCCAACTTTCTAGTAAATTACCGACTTCCCTAAAAATTTAATCTACGCTCTAATAAACAAAATGCAGTTGAGGAAAATTGCCTTCATTTGACAAAGATACCCGAGTATCGTCACGCCCCCAATTTCTATTAAGGAGTATTTGAGGTTAAAATATTGTCAACTTTCTATTAAATTTCCGATTTCCCTAGGAAAATTTATTTTATGCTCTTAAATATACAAAGCGAAATGCAGTAGAGCAAAACTGTTATAAGTTAGCAAGACAAGTACATCCAAATATCTTGGCTATCCAACCAAGTTGGCTATCCAAGTTAAAATTTGTCGTCGACTTTCTAATAAATTTCTGGCTTTCCAAGAAAATTTAATTTATAATGTTTATTAGTTTACTAGGTAAAATGGAATTTTTTAAAAGACTCATTGTCTTTTTTATATTTATAATTTTGGTGGGTTTTTTTAAACTTGTCCATGTGTTTTTCCCCCTTTTTTGTTTTATTTTTACATTAAATTATTTGACGTTCGGGAATTTACACCCATCATCAGCATCTGCAATGTCTATTTTAAAAAAGTATAATAAAGAATATTAGTATTTTGCTACATTTTTGGGGTTTTTAGGTTGGACAGTATTGTATTGGATAATTTAATTTATGCTCGGACAGTCTAACAAACTGAAATGCAGTTAGGCAAAATTTACATCGCATGCCCAATTCACTCAAGTAATCCAGACGACCCAAGTTTCTATAAGTACTTTCTGCTTTAAATCGTTCGACGTCGATTTTCTAACTTTCCAGGAACAGAAATACAGTTGGGCAAAATTTCTGTAGTATGACAAGCTCGCCCAAGTATCGAGACGGCCCAGGTTTCAATATCAATATTTTCGGTTAAAGCTTTAAACAGGCATTGTCGACTTTCTAATAGTTTCATATT